GGTCTTTAATCCCACCACTCAGGACACAGAGGCAAGATCAAAGCTAGCCAGCCTGGTCTCCATCGCAAGTTCCAGGGAAGCTGAGGCTATACAGAGACCCTGTCTCAAAAAGACCAAAAAAAAAATTGTTTTTTTTAAGAGAAGAAACCAAGTACTGTGGTGCACACCTGTTATCCCAGCACTCAGGAGGCAGGAAAACTGAGTGAGCCCAAGCTACACAGTGAATTCCAGGCCAGCCTGAGGCTCAAAGCATAACCCTATCTGGAAAAACCAAGGAGTAAGAACTCAGCTCAGTGGGAGAGCACTTGCCTAGCATTCATGAGGCCCCAGGTTTAATTCCTGGTATTAGGAAGAAAAAAATAAAGGTAAAAAAAGACAGAAACAAAAGAAAAATGTAAAACTCGCTACTGGTGACAATATGCCTAGAGCTAAAAAAGCACTGACAAGTCAAATGACAAGAGAGGCACTTGCCCAAGGGAGGCACTCATCACCCCTCAACTAACATTCCCAAAGATTCTACCAGAGTTGCTGCTATGGTTACAGAATTCCTAAATGGCTCTCTAGTACTCAGAACCTCAAGACTCCGTCAAGCATCTTCATTCAGTCATTCATTTGTTCATTCGAGACAGGGTCTCCCTTCAGCCCTGGCTATCCTAAAACTATGTAGGCCAGGGTGTCCTCAAGCTCGCAGAGATCTGCTGCCTCTGCCTCCCTAATGCTGGGATTAAAGGTGTGCACCCTGGCTTAATTTATAAAATTACGTTTGTAGGGCTGGAGAGATGGCTCAGTGATGAAGAGCACTGGCTACTCTTGCAGAGGATCCAGATTCGGTTCCCAGCATCCACATGGCTGCTAACAACTGTTTGTAGTTCTAGTTCCAGGGGACTCTGATGCCCTCTTCTGACCTCCATGGGCATTGCACAACACGAGTGCACTTACACGCAGGCAATATACTCATACACATAAAATTAAAAAAAAAAATTTAGATAAGTAAATAAGAGTTAGGGAATGAAGGTGTAATACAGCAATTCATCATCCAGCCTTAAGTAAATCATTCCAACTTTATGGATTTCACACTGTTTTTTTGGGGGGGGGGAGTCTTTTTGAGACAGGGTCTCCCTGTAGCACCAGCTGTCCTGGAACTCACTATGTAAACCAGGCTGGCCTTGAATTCACAGAGATCCACCTGCCTCTGCCTCCAGAATGCTGGGACTAAAGGTGTGCACCACCACGCCCAGCCTTACACTTTAAAATTTTTAAGTGTACGAGTATTCTGTCTGTATGCATATGCACCAAATGTATACAGTGTCCACAGAAGTCAGAAGAGGGAGTCCTCTGCAAGAACAGTCAGTGCTCTTAACTGCTGAGCTATCTCTCCAGCCCACAATAAGCACTCTTAAGCACTGGGTCATCTCTTCAACTCCCAGGCCATCAGTTTTTTAAGAGGCATTTCAAATACATGATTTTATTATTTTATTCTTTCACCTGTTATAATATAGCCACTTCAATATATATCATAAATTCATAAAATGCTTCCCAAAAGCAGGAAAAGGAATTTAGGAAAACAGGAATGAATAGCCTTAGCAATGCAGTGTGCTCCTTTCCAGTTCAGGTTACACAACCAGGAAAGCAACCTGGACTTTTAACACAGCCAGAGCTGCTGGAGGTGTTTGCTGGGGGGCACTGTGCTAAAACAGCGAGAGTTGCCAGAGGCTCTTGGTGTGGGGTACCACACTAAGCTCTTTACACACATGAGCTCATCTAGTACCCATCACACATCTCTGATAAGCATTACCTGTCTCCCAGTAAAGGGCTCAGAGATCAGGTGGTTCAGGGTCACATAGCTAAAAAACAGCAGAGTTGGGATTCAAATAGCAGTGACTCCAAAGCCTGTGCTTTTAACCCCTACTACACTCCCTGCTGATGAATAAAAAAGTGGGTCAAATACTTTATCACTAGCAGGTACTGATTATTCCCCTTTGTGTGTGTTTCCATGCATGCCTGTGTATTGATGTGCTCTCCAATGAGTGTACATGTTATGAGGGTTCATGGGGATATATGCATACAAACATGTGGAGGTCAGAGGACAACCTTGGGTGTCATTCTTTAGTCATCTTACACTTTTGTTTGATTCAAGGTCTCTCATTGGCCTGAAACTTCAACTAGGCTAGACTGGCATCCAGTAGGCTTCCAGGGATCCTCCTGTCTCCATCCTCCATTGCTGGGATTACAAGCGAATAGCACTACACCTGGCTTTTCACATGGGTTCTGGGATCCAAATTCGGTCCTTGTGCTTGCAAGGCCAGTGTTTCACAGTGTGACCCATCTCCCCAGCACTGACTGCTTCTTCAGTAGAGAGAAAAGTACCACACATGGAAGCCAGTCAGGAAACACCTCCAAATTAACTGTATGGATAAAAAGATTACTTAAAAGTGAGCCAGCACTTGGGAGGCAGAAGCAGGCAGATCTCTGTGAGTTCAAGGCCAGCCTGGTCTACATAGTGAGTTCCAGGACAGCTGGGGCTACAGGGAGACCCTGTCTCAAAAAGACCAAAAAAAAGGGGACCCTTTCTTTTGTTGCTGATGATGCAGGTGTTTTTTGAGACTGAGTCTATGTTGTGGGTCTATGTTGCCCAGGCTGGCCTAGAATTCTGAGCATAAGCAACTCTCCTGCCTCAGCCACCTAGGTAGCTGGGGCTACAATCTGCACAGCTAAACATATGCATTTCTAAGCAGTGCTGCATTGGGGCTATAAGCAACATTTCCTCAACAGAAGAAAACAGCAATAGCCATTCTATCTGGAAGGCCAGAAAGGGTATTAAAGGGGCTTGTACTGCTCACTCTGCTTTTAGGCAGACCAAATGACCCTGGGGTGAAGTGGAGGAGTACAGAGGGCCTCTGAGAAGACAGTTCTCCTCCTCTGGCATCAGTGCTGACTCCCAGGCTCTCACCATTTCAGACTCACTGCCAAAGGACTGAGCACCAACATCAAGGCCAAGAGACTTAGTCATAACCAGTCTTTCCTGCCTGGCTCTAGATCACTTCAACTAGCCTGTTTACTTACCAATAGAATAACTGTATTTAATGATAATCTTTTTCTTTCTTTCTTTTGGTCTTTTTGAGACAGGGTTTCCCTGTAGCTACAGCTGGGCTGGAACTCCCTATGGAGGCCAGGTGGGCCTTGATCTTACAGAGATCTACCTACCTCTGCCTCTCAAGTGCTGGGATTAAAGGGGTGACAATCTTTTTATATAACATTCAAATTATTTTTATTTTAAATTATGTGTATGTGGGTGGGTGGGTATATGTATGTGAGTACAGTGCCTGTAGAGGCCAGAAGAGGGTACTGGATCCCCTGGAGCAGAAGTCACAAGCAACTCATTGTGGGTGCTGGGAACTGAACTTGGGTCCTCCAGAAGAGCAGCAAGCACTCTTATCCACTGATCCATCTCTCCTTATATAACATTTTAAGAAGTAGAGAAAGGAGATACAAAGATGACTTAGTAAAGTACTTTGCTACACTAGAATGGGGACCTCAGTTCAATCCAGAATTCATGTAAAAGCTGGGCGTGGTACACATGCCTATAATTCCAGTGCTGGGGGTATGGAGACAGGAGGACCCCTGGGACTCACTGGCGAGTCAGTCTAGGCAAATCAGCAAGCTCTAGGTTCAAGAAGAGACTCTGCATCAAATAAAAGGTGGAGAGCAATTGAAGACGACGCCTGGTGTCAAGCTTTGACCTCCACACACACACACACAAAGTAGATGTATAAGGTCATACACACATAAATTCATGCATAAGAAAATACCTGAGGTACTTTAATCCCCCCAAGAGCCCTTTTCCTATCTTTTCTATGTATACTACCTTATGTTACAAACTCTCAAGCTGAGAGAGAAAACTTTTCCATTGAACTCACTCACACATGCACAAACCCACATGCAGACACACAAGCATACATATGATTTTTTCAAAATGGCTTACAGAAATCAGAAAGCTGAGTTCACATGTTTTAGAGAGCTATCCTGTATCTTATTTAAGCATGAAAGAAAAAAATGATCAGAAAATTACCCTTCTTTGATCCAACCCTGGAAGAGGCACTGAAGAATTTTTTCACTGTGGTGACCTTCCGGGTCTTCTCATTGGTTTTCTTTTCTTCGAACTTGGAGAATGTGAGTGATTGGGCCCCTTGGCTGCTCTGACTGCTGGCAAAAGCCTCGTCCTCCTCCCGCTGAAGTCTGAAATTCAGGAGAGGATTAGGAATGATCTGCATTCTCTCCAAGCTTCTCCGGAATCTAAAAGTTTTTGTTCAAATAACTGAGAAGGACCTGAAAATTTCATAACTAGAAGGTAAATATACCCGGTAGGTTGAAGAACTCTGGTAGATAGCTACAGGACGAAGCTCTACTCTTATAACTCTGTTATAAGTTTCATTTGGATGGATTCGGTTCCTAGTAGTGGAAAAAAAAAAAAGAAAAGAAAAGAAAAGTAAAGGGGCTAGAAAGATGGTGCAGTGGTTAAAAGCACCTGCTATTGTTCCAAAGGACCCAAGTTCAGTGTTCAGTGTTCAGTTCCTGGCAACCACACCAGGCAGTTCACAACACCTATAACTCCAGTTCCAAGGGATCCAATACCTTCTTCTGGCCTCCATGGGTACCCACACACAGAGAAACACACATATACACATACACATACACACACACACACACACACAAACACAAACTTTCTTATTTAAAAAGAGGAAAAAAAATCATGGTTCACATCAATAATCTCAGCATTTGGGAGGCTAAAGCAGGAGAATTATTGAGTTGGAGGTCAGCCTGAGTTACAGAGTTAAGACACTGCCTCAAAGTACCATATTAAAAAAGAAGGCCCAAGATGTAGCTCAGTTGGTAGAACACTTGCCAAGCATGAGCAATGCCCTACATTCCAATTCCCAGCACCACATAAGCCCAGCATTGGTGTCACATGCCTATAATTGGGAGGTAGAAACAGGAGGAAAAGAAATTTAAGGTCATTCTCTATGACATAGTAAGTTTTGAAGCCAGTCTAGGATACAGAGAAAGAGCCTTTAATGCCATTAAAGGCAAATAAGATGGCTCAGCAGGTAAAGGCACTGAGCTACCAAGCCTGATTACCTGAGTTCAATCCTTAGAACCAACTCCTGCAAACTGTCCTCTTGAATCCCACACTATCCTCTTGACTTCCGCAGACATAAAAGTAAATATAATTCCTTTTAGTTAAAAAAAAATATACACCACATTAAAAATAAATAAATGGGCTGAGGAGAAGGTTCAGCAGTTAAAAGCACTTGCTGCTCTTGCAGAGGACCCAAATTTGATTCCTAGCACCCACTTCAGGTGGCTCACAACCACCTGTAACTCTGGCTCCAGGGGACCCAATGCCCACTTTTGGCCTCTGCAGACACAGACACAGACACATAGACAGGCACGCGTGCACACACACACAAATCAAAATAAATCAGTAAATAAAAAAAGACTGGCTTGGAGCTGTAGCTCAGAGGCAAATCACCTGCCTAGCACATACAAAGCCTGGGTTCAATCACCAGCACTGAAAGAAAATTGAGAAAGAAGGTCCAACTCTTTTCCGTAACAAGTCAAGGTTGAAATATAGAGCTACATGGATCATCCCCATCCTATAGTTCCTACAGCAGGGTAAAAAAACCAAGTGCTATGAGAACACTGGACAGAACAACTCCCTCAGCAGGAAGACCTGTGAAACACCGCCATGGTAACATTGGGCAGGTGGTGACTAGGGCTCTAAGAGAGAAGATATCGAAGAGAAAACAACAGACATGAAATGTGGCTTCCTGCAGAGGCTCATGTCTGTAATCCCAGCACTTGTGAGACAGAGGCAGAAGGCTCACTGATGATGGGATCAACTTTGGTGCTAGAAGTCCAGGAAGTTTCTAGATGGTTAAGAAACCGTGACGATAGCTCACTAATTCTAAAACTCACTGTGTCACAGGGAACCCAGAAAGATTATAAACCCAAGAATCTACCATGTTCAGCCTTGTGCTTTAAAATATAATGCAGGGAGCTGTATAAAAATTTGAGGGAGATTTCAGAGACAATAATTAAGGGAAGATTGAGCATGCATGGGGCCCTGGGTTCAATTTCCAGAAACACATACAAAATATAAGAATGTATCACAAAACTCTATCCAGCACTTGGGAGGTGGAGGCAGGCAGATCTCTGTGAGTTCAAAGCCAGCCTGGTCCACATAGTGAGTTCCAGGACAGCTGGGGCTACAGGAAGACCCTGTCTCAAAAAAAGACCCCCCCCAAAAAAAAACTCTAAGTGAAATAAAATAGGAAACTAGGACTAGAAAAAATTGAAATCAAGAAGACTTTTCTGAAGCCAGGCATGAAGGCACATGCTTTTAATCCCAGCACTGTGGGAAGGCAGAGACAGGCAGAGCTCTGTGAGATTGAGGCAATCCTAGTCTACATAGCTAGGTCAGGTCAGCTGGAGGTACACGGTGACCCTGTCTCAAAAAAAAAAAAGGGGCTGAGGCTCCAAATTACAGCTGAGGGAGGGAGGGAGGGAGGGAGGGAGGGAGGGAGAAAAAAAGGCTTTTCTGAGGGTTGAGGAGGTGGCTTAGTTGTTAAAGCACTTACTATATAAGCATGAAAACCAAAGTTTGGAACTCCAGAAATCCACATAAATGCTGGGTGGGTGTGGTAGCCCATATCTACTTTTTTGTGATTCCAGCCTCAGAAGGCAGAGACAGGTGATTCCCAGAGCAAGCTGGCTAGGGAGACAAGTCATATTTATGGACTCTGGATTTGACTGAGAGACCCTGCCTCAATGAATAAGGTGGAAGAGCAAAGGAGAATGATTCCAGACAAACCTTGGGATGCCAGATACACGTGTGTGCACGCACGTACAGAGAGAGAGAGAGAGAGAGACAGAGACAGAGAGACAGAGACAGAGACAGAGAGACAGAGACAGAGAGACAGAGACAGAGAGACAGACAGAGACAGGAAATAGAAAAATGAGAAGAAAAAAAGGAAATCTCTGAGCAAGAAAAAGTGAGCTCAGTCAAGCTGTTGAAGGCAGCAAGGAAGTGAAGAAGTGAAGACTGGGTGCAAGTGTTTTCAGCAGACTAGATAAAAAGGATGACATTAACTAACACAGGAACCAGGCTAAGGGAAAATTCTGGGAGTGGGGAGAAGAGTAAATAAAAGGAAGACCTGAAGTGTCAGTTAGACCTGGAATGTCAGCTAGACCCGGAGTGTCTATATAAACCTCAAGTGCTATCTATAGAATAAATGTGCACAAAGTGTGAGCTCCAGATAGCAGCAGCACAGCAGCACCATCACCTAAGACACTGTTATAAATGCAAACCCTCTGGTCTCATGCCCAACCTACTAAAACTGAGACTCCAAGGCTGAGATCCAGCCATTATTCAGCTTACTGGGTAATTGATTCTGAAGCCTGTTCAAATATGAGAAATACCTCTGCAGGATGTGACGTGATGTCAGAATGGAAGCAGGTAAGAAAGAGAAACAAAAATCACAGATGAAGGTGCTGGTCAAGGTTGGAGTACTAACACATCTTTCTCTAAAATAGTAATATAACAGTAATGGCTAGAAATGTGATTCAGTGATACAGCACCTGCCTAGATTCCTGCAGTGAGAGGCTAGGGGCTGGCTCAGTGGTAGAGCACCTACTTAATATGTGTGAAGCCTTAGGTTGCTGGGAAACAGGAGAAAGGCAAGGAAACCAATTCCTAGTGGCCTCTTCCTTTGTAACAAGGTCAAGTGCTGAGTACCACAGGAAGCCTGAGGAAATTCTGATGCTGTGCCTGGATCTTCTCCTGTCAGGGCTATGAAAACAGAGTATATACCATAATTCTCTGAGCTCTCTGCAGATGTGGACAGCACAGGCATTGAAAAAATACCAGCTAAGACAGAAAACCAGTTCAAGCTGCCAATTCTAACCTTCTGCAGAGATAGGGTCACAGTACACTCTGGCAAAGGACACTCTGGCAAAGGATCAACTTTGCTCCTGCAATTTATTAGCCCTGTGCTTGCCAGTCCTTTCATTTTTTTATTTTAATAATTGTATTTGTAGATAACACAACTACTTTGAACTAACCCCATTTTAAAAGTTAAATGTCGCCAGGCGTGGTGGCGCACGCCTTTATTCCCAGCATTCAGGAGGCCGAGGCAGGCGGATCTCTGGAGGCCAGTCTGGTCTCCATAGCGAATCCAGGCCAGGCAGGGCTACAAGTAGACCCTGTCTCAAAAAGACCAAAAAAAAAAAAGTTAAATGTCTACAATGCAAGGACCACACACAATTTAGCAGATGTCCATTATCACTGTGTGTTTTATCACTGTGCTGCAAATCTGCAATGCTGGGTATGTTAAAAGAATGAGGGAAGCAATACTTAGAGCCATGTGCCCAGCCCAATGCTCAATGCATCACTTGTACAACCATGTTTAGCGTTTCAGCATGAAATAGGCTCATCTCCAAGACAAACACACCTCGAATATAAGATAAGCAAAGACAGAAGAGGTCATTAAAGTGATTCATTAAATGTTGACTGAGAAGAAAAAAAAAATCCTCTTAGGACAAGTTGACCTGCTTACAACTCTCTAAGCAATGAGCAGGAAGGACCATGCACCTGGCTATCAACTATACCCCATCTCAGCCTGGCAGGTGAGGTCTTCTTACCGTTCTGCCAGCTCCCAGTCCTCTTGAATCTGCCGCTGCCGGGCCTTTTGATACTCCTCCCTCCAGCACTTGGAGCAGAAGCCCTGCCAGGCAGGGTTGCCATAGTAACCGCATCCTTTCTTGCAAAGCAGCTCAGATTGATCCACATGAATCCCTCGGCGCTCGGACTTCAGACTCATCTTCGTCCTGGTAAACAAGGAATGAGAAAGCCTTGAAAAGTAATTCACTACCATGCTACTAAAACACAGCACTTAAGAAGCAAAATACAAATAAGTCCATGACCTTTGAACCATAAAGGGAGAAAGAAATGAGGGAAAAAGGTAGGGCAAACAGGAAGGTTCAACACAGCCCGTTAAAAAAACACTGCAGGGCGTGGTGGCGCACACCTTTAGTCCCAGCAGAGGCAGGCGGATCTCTGTGAGTTTGAGGCCAGCCTGGTCAACATAGCAAGTTCCAGACCAGCTGGAGCTACAGGGAAACTCTGTCTCAAAAAGACAAAAAAATAAAGTCTTCATACTTGATGCTCAAAATACACACAGCACCTTAAGAAGAGACTAATACTGGATTGGAGATGCAAGCCTAAAACAAACTCAAGAAAGTACAGAACAAAAGCTTCCTGACACTGGCAGGGGACTTCTTGAATATATACCAAAAGCACAGAAAATAAAAGCAAAAAAAAAAAATTTGTCCTCACATGCTGTGGCACATGCACACCTGCGCACACACACAAATAAATTTTTTAAAAGAAGAAAAAGGAGAGCTAGGGATGTAAAGCACACACCTAGCATGCACAAAGCCCTGGGTCCAATCCCCTGCACTGAAAAGAAAAAAAATACTAATGAGCAAAAGAGGACAAGAGAGATAGCTCGGTGGTTAAGAACACCTGCTGCTCTTGCAGAGGACTCAAGTTTGGTTCTCAGCACCCACATGGCAGTTCACATCCTACTCTAACTCCAGTTCCAAGCAACCTGAGGCCTCTGGCCTCTGTGGACATTTGCAAGCAAAAAAACGCTCATACACATAAATCATATTTTTTTAATGAGCAAAAGACTTGAACACTTTATCAAAGAAATACATACACTAGTGCCAGGCTTGGTGGCACACGTCTGCAATCACAACACTCAAGAGGCTGAAGCAGGAGGACTGTGAGTTCAAGGACATCCTGGACTACACAGTGAGTTCCAGCCAGCTTGAGCTACATAGTGAGACCATGTTTCAAAAAAAGAAACAACCCAAAAACAAAGCACATGCACTGTCATCCTACATTTCTTCAGGACAGGCCTTTACTATGAACTTTTGTGCCTCAAGCATCCTTGTAAGACAAAGATTCTCAGTTGAGTGAGATGGTTCAGCAAGCGAAACAATTGCTGCCAAGTCTGACAACCTAAGTTTGATCCCCCAGGACCCATATGGCAGGAGAGAACTGACTCTCACAGGCTGTTGCCTGACCCTAACACATGAGCTATGGTGTTTGGGCACCTGCACACATATATACAAAATGAACAAAATGTAAAAAGATAAAGGTGCTCTTTCCAGAGCAGGGGTTCAAGTGTTTACTGTGCAGTGCAGTTAAGCACACTGTAACCCTCCCTCCCAGTCAACAGTCTGGTGAGTTGCGAGATCTGGGTTCCCTAGTCTTGGGATTCCTTAGCTGTGACTCTGCCTGCACAGCTCTTGTAGGACAAAGGTACTCCCTGTGACATAAAGCCCATTCAGCTGACTTCCTGTGGACAGGTAAGGACAGTAAGGCCCTTTGTTCCCCATACAGGAGCCTCAGGTCTTCAGCCAGTATCCATCAACTATGGCAGTTCACTTGCGGTGAGTAAACAGGGCAAAAGTTCCAATCCTTCGCTGTCCTTGACAACCTGGGCAGCAAACACTGAGTTGGATGCCGCTCAACATCCTCAGCCATTTGAGCAATAACATGCTCAAGGTCCTGGGTTTGATCTGCAGCACCACCAAAAGGAAAATAAACAGATAGAAAACCCCACCAGCATGAGACATCATCCCACCTGTTACAGTGAGTAAAATCAATACTGGCACAACCAAATGGTGGAGGGGGGCAGAGCAACTACAGGTCCTGCACATTCTAAGTGGAATGTCAAACAGTGTAGCCAACAGTCTGAGAGCTGCTTTTTCACTGTTTTGGTTTTTTGAGACACGGTCCCAACTGAGACCCCTCAAGCTCAGAGCAACTCTCCTTCCTCAAGCCTCCAGGGCATTACAGATGTGAGCTACCACACAGAACTAAATCTCCTTAGAGTGTTTATTCATTCTTCACTCAACAAATACTACATACTGATCTGGTGGTGCTCAGACAAAGTCCTTGTGGATCTTACTGCCTAACATGGGAGGTATATGGCTAAAAACCTGAATGGAAAAACATTAATACTGAAGAACTAATTTTTAAACTGCTAAATTTTAAATTTTAAAAACTGCCAGACATGGTGGTGCACACCACGCCTTTGATCTCAGCACTCAGGAGGCAGAGGCAGGCAGATCGCTCTGAATTCAAGGCCAGCCTGGTTTACACAGTGAGTTCCAGGCCAGCTGGGGCTACAGGGAGACCCTGTCTCAAAAAGACCAGAAAGAGGCCATGATTTAGCTCAGTGGCAGAGTGCTTGCCTAGCAAGCACAAGTCCCTGGGTTCAGTCCTCAGCTTCGGGGGGAGGGGCAAAAACTCCTAACTTCATGAATTCATGTTTGAGAAACCAACCAAATATGTGAATGTGAAATCTATGCAACTCTTAGTCTCTGAATAGCAATATATAATGAAGTACAAAAATTTTGTTCATAATACCAATCTGTAAAAACACCTAGGGAATATTTTAAGGTTTTTTTTTTGTTGTTGGTTTTTTGGTTTTTTTTTTTGGTCTTTTTGAGACAGGATCTCCCTGTAGCTCCAGCTGCCTGGAACTCAGTCTGTAGACCAGGCTGGCCTTGAACTCAGAGGATCTGCCTGCCTCTGCCTCCTGAGTGCTGGGATTAAAGGCCTATACCACCATGACCGGTGGCAAGATTTTTAATTATTATTTTTATTTTATGTGTATGAGTGTTTTGCCTGTATGGATGTAAGTACACCCATGTCATGCAATGCCCATAGAAGCCAGAGAGCATCGGATTCCATAGAACTGGAGTTACAGAGGGTTGCTAGCAACCATGTCAGTGCTGAGAACCAAACCCAGGTCTTCAGCAAGAGCAGCTAGTGCTCTTAACTGCTGAGCCATCTCTCCAGCCCACTAGGAAATATTTTAATGAAAAGGTTATCTGAGGAGATAGAGAGATGGCTCAGTGATTAAGAGCACTAGCTACTCTTTTTTTAAAAAAATTATTTTATTTATTATTTTTATTTTATGTGTATGTGTATTGCCTGTACGTATGTGAGTGCGCCCGTTGTGCAATGCTGTGGAGGAGTTAAGGGCAGTTCGTGGCCACCATGTGGGTGCTGGGAATCGAACCCGGGTCCTCTGGAAGAGCAGTCAGAGCACTGGCTACTCTTGCAGAGGACCTGGGTTTAGTTCCCAACACCCAAGTAAGGTGGCTCACAACCACCTGTAACTCCAGCTCCAGGGGAACTAAGGCCTACTTCTGCCATCCACAGGTTCACACAAATAAGAAAGACGAAATGGGATGGAAGGAGGGTCAACAGGAAGATGAGGCAAGATGATCTGTACAAGTTCAAGGTAGGTTAATGTAAGCTACGTAAAATATTGATATAAGGGCCAACAAGGTGACTCAGCAAGTAAAGGTGCTTGCCACCAAGCCTAACAACCTGAGTTTGATTCCCAAAACCCACAGAGTAGAAGGAGAGAACCAACTCTTGCAAGCTGTCCTCTGACCTCTACATGCACACTGTGGCAGGTACACCCCTGCCATAAATAACTATTAAAAAGGAAAAAATTGGGCTGGGCATGGTTGCACATGCCTTTAATCCCAGCACTCAGGAGGCAGAGGGAGGTGGATTTCTGTGAGTTCAAGGCCAGCCTGATCTACATAGTGAGTTCCAGGACAGCTGGGGCTACAGGGAGACCCTGTCTCAAAAAGACAAAAAAGGAAAAAATTACTAATATATATAGATATAGATATATAAGTATATAGAGAAATATGTACGTTGCGCATTATCTTACGCACACACCTATAATCTTGGCACTGGGGAGGCTGAGGCAGGAGGATTCTATGTTTGAGACCAACCTGGGCTACAAAAGAAAAAAGGAGAGATAAAGGTTTTAATGATAAGGCTATAAATGGGAAGACATACTATGATCCACTATGAAATACACATAAAATACTATAAAAATGACACAGGTTCCAAAATGTTTAAGTTCCAAATTTCATCAGCAATGATAAACAGGACTTTTTTTTTCTAAATTAATTTTCCGATTTTTTTTTTTCTGAAAACTAGTTAAACAGAAGGAACTTAGGGGCAGGTCTGAAAAAATCACTGAATGACAGATGACTCTCAAATCAATCTTAATATACTATACTAAAAAATAATACTAAAGGAAGGATGGGAAGGGAAACTTTCAATAAATAGTTATGAATAACCAGCCAGCAATATCCAAGAATAATTTAAAGATCTATTAAAGAGTTAAGGTTTCTTGTGCATTCAGGAAGACGAGTCAAGGTGATCTGTAAGAGTTCAAAGTCAGCCTGGGATACATGAGACTATCTTAGATAAATAAACAAACAGGCATGGTGGTACAAGCCTATCATCCAGCACTTGGGAGCTAGACCCAAGAGGATCAGGAGTTCCAGTATAGTGTGTTAAAGGCTAGCTTGGACTACATGAGACCCTGTCTCAAAAAAAAAAACAAAAACAAAAACAAAATGATGGAGGGGAGGAAGAAGGAGAGGGAAAGGGGAAGGAGGCAGAGGGAGTGAAGGAATTTTTTTTTGTCTTTTTTTTTTTTTTGAGACAAGGTGTCCCTGTAGCCCCAGCTGGCCTGAACTCATAGAGACCCACCTTCCTCAGCCTCCTAAGTGCTGGGATTAAAGACATGCGCCACCACACCCAGCTGGGAGTGAAGGATTTTTGTCAGACTAAGATGTAGCCCAGACTGACCCAGCACCACCCTCCCTGCTCAGCTCCCAAGTGCTTGAATTATAGGTGTCAGTTACCAAGCCTGATATGAGTTAAAATTTTTAGAGAAGCAGAAAGTTGAAAGAACATCACGTTTATGAGACTT